GATGACAGCTTCGTTGCCTTTGCTATTGCCGTTGCAGAAATCTGTAATGAATGGTAGGCATAAGCGGAACGTTGTGGCGTGTTACGTGAGGTCATTTTTTGGTTTCTGGCATGTAAAATTGTAAATTATGACTCAATCCGTAAACAATAAAGCACCTTACATCTAATTAGGTCATCCAGACACATGAATTACTGGAATATAGTATTTGAGGCTTTTTTCATCGTTTGCCATAAAAAGTCAAGACAGTGACGTTTCGAAATTTTTAGCTGAAGCGATTCGAATACCTTCTTTTCGATTTAAAATGCCCAGCCCTAATAATAAATAGACTATATGTTGCGTTCCACCATGTGATTGAGTTATTTCTTGCTAGGTAAATATCCAAAGAAATTGTGCGGCCCACGGAGAAGTGTCAGTTTTGAATGGCGTGCCCGCGAAACGTTTTATAGTCTAGGTAACCTGGTACGTGCGAGCAATTCCAATCCCATCGGTCCAGATATGGTAACCCCATTTTATTAAATGAAGGTGCGTCCCACGGCTTCACTTAGATACTTTTATCTGGCCCGCTTGTAATAAAGGTTGCGCACCTCTGATCTAAGGGATCAAGAATAACAGTTTTGAATTAAAGAAAGCTTGGGACGGTGCCACTTTGGTATACTGTACTTTGAACGCATACCAAATTAGCACCGCTCGAATTATTACGTTCTCTGCAGTAGCAATATTCCCCGGACAGCTCGGTATGATTTTCTTGAAAGCAGGCATAACCTGCAGTAGTCCATCCACACCCACGAATTTTAATTCGAACGCCTGTAAAAGATATTGAGTGGGCTATGAAATAGCGTTCCCGTAATATGTGCACCAGATAGCGGACACTTGTACATAGTATGTGTACCAGATTAGAGTTAGGCCATAATTTTATTCCATTTTTTTTGTTTTTTTCAGTTCTATTACGAGTTTGAGGAATAGCCAAGTGACTCCCATAGTATTTGTACCTGAAATTATAGCCTAACCTGGTACACATACTACGTTTCGGTGTCCGCCATCTTGGTTCACTAACTATGGGAGTTCCCATAAAACTATTTTATTTTAGGAAGTCTTACGAATAAAAAAAAAAAGGGAAAGCGAAGAAAAATGTTTGTATAATACTCAATATAGCCGTTTTGATTTTGCTGTAGAGTATCTTTGTAGTCGATACATACGAATACGGTTCATCAGACAGAAAGAAGAGAAACATTATGACGATTACCAAAATGTTGATATCTGTATTCAGTGAATGATTGTCATTTTAGACACTATACCTGACACAAACCCAGTTCCCGTGTAGCAAGCAGTCCATGTGGCATTCGAGGCATCTGGAGGAACATCACAAATTGTTAGTTCAGTGGAGCTGTTTGTGGTGTCACAGTCAAAGCATTTGAAACACATTCTGGCGGTGAGCGGATATGACGTCAACCACCCACATTGTTCCCCTATAAAAGAATTAAAACAAGCAATGCTCAAATATATGGACACAACGATTTGCGGATATATTGGTCAAATATTTTCGTTTCTTAAGAATTCCACCAATCCCTTAATAAAATATAAAAGTTTGTGTATCGAAAATCCATTAGGACCACCGTAAAAAGATCGAGCCCAACCTAAAAGCAAATATAAGAAAGCATGACATGAATTACCCATGAAGGTTCCACGCCAATCGTTATTTACAAATGTGTCATTCTACGCTGTAAAACTTTATAATCTAGGCAGCCCAGTGGGTGAAGTCTTACGTTGGACAAATTTCTTAAAAGAAGGTAAATTTTTTGACCAACAAAACAGTATTATTCTGTAAATTCGCAGATTTATATGTCAAATATTTGCTCGATTTCTCAAATAAAATGCAAATTTTTTTATATATCGGTATGATGTCACATACAATAAAAAAAAATTCACAATCTGATCCATTTTATTAAGATTTTCAATAATTTTCTTCAAACGAAACTATAAAAATTACTGTCCCATACATCAAACGATTTTAAGTCATTTAAAGAGGAATTGCAAGCAACTAATGTTAATAGACACTAAGCGTACCATTGCCCAAAATAGTTGTTAATTTTTGTGTGTGTCGGATAGGATATTCATGTACTGCTGTTAGTCCTAGTGACTGTATATTTGAACATAGTTCTTGTGCCTTTTTGGTCACCTAATGTGTACCTTGTTGAATTATGTTATTTTCAAACATAATTCAACTTAAAACTAATCGGCCTGTGCATTTCCGGATACTTGATGATTTCAGAATCAAATCGAATATTTTTTTAATCAAATCTCGAATATTTGCAAGATATTTAAAATGATACAATGGCGTAATTGTATGCGACTTTATTATTGTAATAGTCCCTGCACACATAAATTGCTGAAAACATAGAATTCATGTGTCATCAATACCTCACCAGAAAAGGGGGCTCCCGTAGTGTGGGCACTAAAATGGCGGACACCGGAACGTTGTATGTGTACCAGGTTAGAGTTAGGCCATAATTTTATTCTAATTTTCCTTATTTTAGCTTTATACGAGTTTGGCGACTAGCCAAGTGACTCTCGTATTATTTGCTGCTGAAATTATGGCCTAACCTGGTACACAAACTACGTTCCGGTGTCCTTCATCTTGGTTCACATACTACAGGAGTACCGAAAAAAGAGTCACCTGTCCGAATTCAGTTATATAAATATGGCTTCGATAAAAAAATTGACCTCGTCCTTCGACTGACAAAAAATTAAAAATTATTGCATGAACCGACTCGAAATGCCCGTCCCTGGTCACAAATTGACGATTAATCAAAACACTTTTAAAACCAAATTCAATGCAGTATAGTTACCCCATATTATCCCATTTATATATTTTTCTTAATTCAAAATCTAACATAGCAATAAAAAAGAATGATAAGGTTTAACTCATTTTAAATATACGTAATTTAAAAGATGGTTTCTTACCAGTGGTGAACACTGCGGCCAGAATAGCGCAAACGATGCCAAAGTTTCCCATATTTTGCAAGTAAAATTTAAAGTTGAGCGAAATTATGGTTATCTTAGGAATATAAAAAACTCTATAGGAAAACATATATTTTCACGAAATTATATAAAATTGCATACGTTCTAATTTATTTATAACTACGTGTTTGATCTGATTACGACTCTGACAAGCGTGCCTGGCTCTAAAAACGAGATAAGATCTATAAATCTTCTCTTTTTCACTAAAATTTCATTGAGCATCAATCCATACAAAATAGTAAAGTCCTGTTTGATATGAGCAAAACTCTTGATTCATTATCTCTTTCCTATGTTTCCGCAGTGTCTTACGTCAAATGGGCTATCTGAATACCTCCTTCTTGTTTCGGCCTGTATGATCTGAGCTAACTCTTCATCCAACTTCGGTATCCAAAATGTTATGCCCTAAACGTCAATCGTGCCTTCTATACTCTCTCTCCGCTGCCTTTTTTTCCTATCATTTTATTACCTCTCAGCCTTCTATAAAAGGATAACGTATGGTTTAAAACTCCCGTAGTTGAGCACTTATAATACGCATTGCCATTAGAGATGTAGCGTTTTAGTTTCTGGAAGATGTCCCAACTCTAAACAAGACTCTAGTAAAGCATTACCATAGTAGAATTCCAGTCAATTTAACTTAAAAACTCTAATATATTTTCTTCATATTGTAACATTCCTAGCGTTCCATTTAATTATATGTCACAGTTTTCAAACTCTTAACGGGCAGTTTTATTGAAATAACCCACCCCCGTGTCTATACACGTAATTTGCGAATTCCCCGTCCAAGATATATAAAACTGCTCATAATATAAAGTTCTCAGTAAGCATAAACACAGATTGAGACACACACCTTATTTCCACTATCATTTTATTGGACACTTTAAGGGACATAACGATCGTTTCAAATTATGTTGTTGTTATTGTTCTTATTTTACTTCGTCACCATCATTATTATAAAATCGCTTTTCTCTTCGAATACTGGACCAATTGTTTTGAAATTTTCAGTGGTTAAAGTTTGATTTTTTTCCAGAAGGCTATTACTTCTATTTATTCCTAAATTTCCTATGAATCCTATGAGATCTGATATTTTATTAAAAATTTCGCTGTTCTAAAATTTACTTATGGAAACACTGTTTTAAACTTATTTCAAGCGGTTGCGTGATCGAGCCTGCAGGTACGGTACCGCTCAGTTACAGTACCACAGTAAAATTGGCTTATTCCTTTCGCGATCTTGCTACTGCAGTAATGTCAAATGTAGGTTTTTTAGTTAAATTTGATGTGTTTAATATGTTAAATTTGATGAGACCAAATTGAATTGAGTTTTTATATGCCAGAGAAGAACCGTTCCACGATCGAATAGCAGGCCTACAGTACAGCAACAGGTACTGGTAAGGTACGGTACCTCTGTGAATTATTACGCTCACACCTTTTCGTTACAGTTCTGATGTAAACATAAATCATTACCACAGGACATGGAAGAGCTGTGACAGCCCTTGTACCGGTATTTGTACTAGTACTAGTAAGTCCGTTACCATAGCCATGTAGCTGTTTCACTGTTCAGATTCGTGCAGGATATCGTACCGAAAGCGTAGGGTAACCTATAGTTTTCGGTGGAGTGATGATACTATATTTTGTTTTATTCTAAGTGTCCACATATTTGAGCATAGCTTTCTTGTTACTTTTATTTTAGCAAGCTAACGTATGCCATCTAGCGACAACCATACTCGACAGATTCAGTTTAGATTTATTATCAATGTAACCGCGGAGCTTTGGAGTCAAAGTTTACTAGGGTCGTATTTTCAGATCGGATAGCCGGAGTCGTATTTTCAAAATCGTAAGAGTCAAAATTACGAATCCGCAGAGTCCAAACTACAGACATTATATGGTTGGTATAATAACTCTAATGGAAATAGATCTCAAATTTTCATCGCTCGAAGATAAAGAAGAAAGCTATTATTTTTGTTTTTCAATTTTTTTTTCTGGATTCTCGAAAAATACCGATATTGTATTCCAAATTTTGTGGATTTTAACACTCGGTACAATTACCTAAACCAGTGGTTCTCAAACGATGGGGCGCGCCCCACTAGATGAGGAGGGGCTACGGTTTAGATAACTTTTTGAGGGGACGCGAAGCTAATTAAACAGAAAAATATTATTTGTTTGGTGGTGCCCTCCTAATTTTGGATATTTTGTTTTTTATTTTATTTTGGATATTTACGTTCCATCCACGTATTTTCAACGTGTTTTTCACTTTCGTCTTACTATCTGTTATTTGTAGCTTATTGTTAGCTAGTTGTTTTTGAGGTGGCCCGAGGCTCGAGTTGACAGATTTTAAAAAGGGGCGCAACTTTGAAAGTTTGAGAACCACTGACCTCAACAATTAGAAGAAATTTCCAGGCATCCAATTTCGGTCATTTGGTTTTCGTGTTCAAAAATTTGAGCATTTCTTACTTGTTATCAAACACAGCCATCATGTGCGTACAAATACAGGTTCAAAATACAGGCAATGTGAGAAATTATCAATATATCAAAACGTAAACATAATGTGCATAATCATGCGTGAAAAGTTTTCATGTGTGACAGCGATAACGTAAGACCGGGTAAAAAATTATCATAAAACTGAATTAATAGAAAAATTAATAAGTTGGTTGACAGTTTGTTGCTTTCAAGCGTAGATTTTTGCAAGAATTCCCGCCAGAAATATCATCAGAACGACGTTCAATTTCACGATAGAAGCTTCGTTGCAGAGATCTGTAATGAATGGTAGGTATTAGCACACCGGGTCTCAACTAGTGGGCCACTTCTGGGCCACACAAACGTTTTCTGTGGATTCTAAACCTATTATAAATTGCTAGAGTGATTGATAAGTTATTTAGATTGATAGTTTGGATTGATAGTTTGGTTATGGTAAAGCAATGAATGATGATGCCTGGTTCTTGATACTGAGTGGTAATTCTCATTTCAATTATTAAAGTGGAAGTGTGTTTTTCTTGTAGTTTTTCTCTGCTGCAATCGTTGACGGGCAACAATTTTTTTTGTGCAACGAAAGTGGGCCTTGACAGAAAAAACTTGAAAACCACTGTATTAGCGGAACATACAGGCGTTTACTGGAAAACAAAAAATCCTAAATTAAAGTTTCAAACAAAAGAAAGAGTTGATTACCTTTGTTGCAATAACAATATTCTCCGCTCAACAAGACATGAGTTTCTTGCTGACAGAATTCAGCTGTAGACCAACCACACCCTCGAGCTATAGTTTGAACGCCTGTAAGAGTCAATATTTTCTAATTAGACTAGCAAAAGTGGACACGATAGCTTATTATTTGGGTTGGGTTGCTATCACAGGTAAAATATCTGTGCTCAATTTCCATAACCACCGCCTCTCTCAATAAGTAATGATTGGGTAGATAACCGAGATTGTGATTCCTCCAAAACCCCTTACCTGGAAGTGACTGCTTGTATAATGACGTAATATGACGCTTAATCGTGCCTTTTGATTCGAACAAGGATAGATAAAAGTAGTCGCTAATATCTAACAACATCTTAAAGAATCTCTCTACAGACTCACTTCTCTGTCGAAGTTATCAAAGCTATACCATCGAGAATTTTTTCATCTGTCTCGATTGGTTCATTTTGTGAAAGGATTATTGATAGCAAGCCAGGAAAAGTCAGTTTTCAATAAATCGTTAAATAATAGAGTAAAATGGTATTGGGGAAAACGTGAAAACTCATGTCTCACTGCAAATGCCGCAAATTCCATTTAAATATAAATTTTGGATTTTTTGGGGGGTTGGCATAGCTCCTTCCCCCCTAAAAAGTGCCGGGTTGTACAGAACCTTGTCTGAAACGTGTCGGAGTTTGGGTTGTTTTGATTGAGGAAAAAAATACGAATTTTGCACACAAATTAAATAAGAATCTTTAGTCTATAGCACGTATTTAAAGTCTATTTTAGAAGGCTCACATGATCCTATGTACCAACCCCCCGCCAACACTCAAAATAATAAAATTAGTAATGAGAATATCGGTCAGAGACCGAAGACTTATCGATCACAAGTTAGGGGATTGTCCAAAACAGCGCTCTTACTCCATAGTGACACCTTGCGTATCGCGTGCATCAGACAGACAAGACAAATACCTATAAACATACTTAGCGATTAAAATCGATAAGTAATTATCAAGTTGGGTTGTATCTGGGGTTGGGAATGCAGACATTCCTTGGAAATGTAAGTTTCAAATCATTCCTAACCCGGAAGCCTAGCTGGAAAATAACTGATTCCTTATTAAAGTGGCGTTTTTTTTTCAAATCTCGCATTTCTTCATCTGCGGCAGGGGCTTTGTACAAAACATCCAGCGCACATACGTCAAAGTTTTTGTTGACGAGTTTGAAACTTGAGTACGAGTCAAAATTTCCTGAACCCGAGAGTCGATTGTTAATTTTCCCCGATTCGACAGCTCTGAGATTATTTGGTACTCATGTAAATTGTGAACCAAGATGGCGGACACCGGAACGTAGTATGTTTACCAGGTTAGGGTTAGGCCATAACTTCAGGTACAAATACTACGGGAGTCACTTGGCTAGTCCCCGAACTCTTAATAGAACTAAAAAAAGAAATACACATACTACGTTGGGGTGTCCGCCATTATGGTTAACATACTACGGATGCGCCGATTTTTCTATTTTTTTCAAGTTATAAAATGCATTTGCCTCACCGTTCACTTTTCCCGTTCCTTTGAAGCAAGCACCCTTCGCATTACTGGGGGCAGTTTGAGGAGGTTCAGCACAAGTTGTGGTTGGGGTACTGCCGTTCACGGTGTCGCAGTCAAAGCAGCTGTAACATTTAATGCCGTTTCCTAGAAAATAATCAGAATTTACAACTTCTGGCAGTGATGGCTTTTTGGGGGAAGGGGTAATGAGAGTGTTGCGTCTTCACGCATACTCGCATGCTTTCTGGGACGGGCTAGTTAACACTATTGAGGGGTATTTCTAAAAGAAATCAAAGTCATTATACGTTACTTTATATTGAGGATATGCAATCTGTGCCTACTTCAGTTACGTTCCGGTGTCCGCCATTTTGGTACGCATACTTCAGGAGCGCTGAATTTATAGTTCAACTATTTACGTTCTCAAGGAATTCGAGTTCCTCAGTAACGTCTAAAATACTATTATGCTTTTTGTATACACCAGGGGTGTAGTCTTGAGTAGTCGATCACGTCTGATGTTGAGTGAGTTTAACAACATACCCCCAAAAATGTGGGTTTTATGCAGCGTCTGTTGTGTGTTTTAAAACAGTACGACTACAGTACTGTACATACACCAAATACGATATACACATACAGTATTTGAGTATGGGCACAAAGCAAGACTTTTATTGATTTGTTATCAAATATTTGCGTTGCTTGGGAATTCGAGACGCCCAGTAATAAATATAGAATCTCGAAGCTATAAAAAGTACTGTGGCAACGGCCGTTACATCGAAGAGCAAATACAGAGACAAATGTTTGCGTTGGTAAAATTCGGAGTACTCGCTGAATAGATTTGAACATTTCCATCATAAAATAAATAACAAAAGGATTAATACGAAAACCCGTCAGCATTTTACACCCCTAAATTAAAATAAAGACCAAACAAAAAAGGCCATCCGGACGTTCTTACTAATTCATGGAATTTTTTTATGGATGATATCGACGCAACCAATCTGCCATCAACAGATTTATTGTTATAAACATAAGGAGCTGAAAGTTGATTAAACATGTTTCATTCTTCTCTTTCGGAATAAGTTGCTACAGTTTATAAAGATACAAGAATACCGGTGTGTCTAAGCCAGTGATTTCTTTGCATCCCCTATAGGTGGTCCCCCCTACCCGCAACGTAAATAAAAATGTATTCGAATATTCAGAAAGTGTCTTATATTCCGATGCAGATTCCGATAGAATAAGTTACAATTATAATTTTCGAGAATGACTGTACAATATCAATTTCGTTAGAAGCATATCAATTATAAAAATAAAAAAGCGACACGAAACAATTGTACCAACAACAACAACAATTTAATCAAACAATGCCTGGGGTACACCTCATTTTCAAAGTATGTATTTACAATATCCTAAGTTCGCCTAAAAAATAACATTTCCAATATTCCGAAGGACAACGTTTGATTTTTTTTTCTTACATTTAAGTGCAACACTGTGCCTTTCAATGTTCTACCCAGGGGTTTGCAACCTTTGAATACAGAAGGGACGGATACGAATAACCGGGTGAAACCGCGGGCCGCAACTTTATTTAATATAGGCTTTCTAGTAGTTGCAGGCACAAATTTGATAATGAATCTTATGGTGGCATGAGTTGATCGCTTTGCATAAGCTCAGGTGTAGGCATTGGGGAACAAAGCGATTGAAATTACTCGCACGTACTAGATTAAACTAAATTAAAAACTCGTATACTTTTCAAAAATGGCCCCACAATTTTTGTCTGTGGGTCGCAGGTTTTCTCGATATTTTCATTAAGTAGAGTTTCATGGCCTTAAGCTTTAAAAAGCGAAACTTGTATTAGTCTCACACTTATGACACATAATTTGTTAATGAGTAAGCTATTGTATGCGGTGTTTTCCATACATGCGTGCGGCCTATCGGTGGCCAACGGAGATATCTTACATCGGGGTATGAGTTCCGGTAAATCGTTAATTTTACTTCAATGAAACTCTCCTCTCGATCATTTTGAAACTTTTGTCTCGGTTTTGTGCAAACATGATTAAACCGTTACAACATTTTAGCAGGGCCAATTCGACCGATTTTATCAAATTGGGCCCCGCACCTTGAAGGGGCCCCGCGCTGTATTGTGAGGTACAAAATGATGGTAATACTAAAAACGTAAAAAAAAAAGTGGAAAAATCTCTCTTATAATGTTATTTTGGTATGCATGTTAAATTTAGTAAATTATCATTATGTCGCCATTAGCAATTAAATTCTTCTGTTCTTCTTTATTTCAGAAATTCAGAATAACATATTTGTACTGTCTTCTAAAAAAGACTTTGACTGAAAATATTTTGAATGCTTTTGCCAATAAAAAGGCTAGAAAAGTCTTTTTCTGAAAGAGTATAATGTAATTGCCTATTTTGCCTTTCTTAATAATAACAACATCGACTGTGCCTTAAATTTGTTTTATAGCAAGTATTAAATGTCTTTTTTTTGGTTTGTATATATGTTTTTTTATGAAATATAAAACCCATCAATTTTACTATGAAAAGTATGGGCCGCTGGGATTTCTAATTGGGCCCCGCATTTCCTGGTGCTTCTAGGTTGATATCAATTATGTCAGCTTGGCGGTTCTCGCATCGTTCTAAGCTCTAGTCATACGGTTGGATTACTCTTTGCGGGTCGCATCGCATGGGGGACGGCTATGTGCCAGAGAATTACTAGACTACACGCCCTCCGTAGGGTGATTCACATAACCGCTGTGACTGGTTACGGCTTCCTCCACCACCAAGTATATGTGACTGAGACAAATAGCAGGTCAACTACTCCCATACCCGACTTGGATTGATAACTCCACGAGTTTCGTCATATAGATAAGCCGTCTTATCGACTTACTCTCTTCTGAGATAAATATGGAAATCTTATTCTGAAAATCAAAACTGAACTTTGTAGTAAAAAAGAACAAAGCCCTTCATCGTGCTTTAAATATTATTCAAATGCTGGTTTCTTACCTGTAGTAAACACTACGGCCAGAGTGGCGCAAACGATGCCAAAGTTTCTCATTGTTACAAGCAAAACTTCGAAGATACAACAAATTGTATTTATCTTAGAAATATAATGTAACCTCATATAAGAAAAAAAAAGAATTTCACGGAAAACAGAAAATTTGTCAAAGCTATTTATTTTTACAAAGAATAACTTGAACAAAGTTTTTTGAAGGCATGTGTTATATTACACATAATGTTACAGAAATCAAATAGAACCTAAAAGGTTTCAAGCAAAAACCTAAAAGAAATTAAAACGTTCCGAAAAAGAAACAAGAGAGCTATGCTCAAATATATGGACACGTAGAGTCACATAATTTTGATGACGTCATAAAGTAATAGCCTTCTGGAGAAAATTTTTATCTTTAACCACTGAAAATTTCAAAGCAATTGGTCCAGTATTCGAAAATAAAAGCGACTTTTTAAAAACGTGTCAAAGAACAACAACAACAACCTAATATTGAAACGATCGTTATGTCCACTACGTGTCCAATAAGTAAGCACACATTTTATTCATGATCTCGTCTGACCTTCAAATTTTCTACTTTTCTAGCGACCACCTTGTATAACTAGGTGTTCGATCTGAGCTCGACTCTGAGAAGCGTGATGCTATTCTATAGGAGCTAAATTCGTTATTCAAATGTCTCCTACTTATGAGTACATTTGTTTAAAATTGCGTAAGTTCTGTACAATCTAAGGTAAGCTTGATTCAATAGTTGTCTGCTCTGCTCGGTATCCACAGTGCCATGCGCTAAACTTCAATTGTGCATTCGCTGTATAATTAAGGTTTTAAATCTAACCTAAACTAGCAGAATAGTCTAACTTGATTCTTCGCTGCCTATTTTAACATCAATTCCAGCGTATATCTCAAACATCCACAACAACATGGCTTCGATCAATAATACCACCAAACCAAAGCCTAAGCAACGCCTGAGTAGAAGTCTTCCCGATCCAGGCCTTTCACCAATTGGATCTGTATTGCAACAACAGAAGGAACACTCTAACTTCCAGATAAACCTACAGGAGGCAATACAAACAAACATCATGAACCAGTTACCATCCCTAATTGCCAAATGCTTAACAGAAAACTTCAGCTCTGCAAACTTTTCATCAGAATACCTACCAATGAGTCCAGGTCTAAAAGAATGCATGGAGGAACAGATGATATCTCTGAAAGAAATTAAACAAGACCTTGCTTCTATCAGAGAATCACAAAGCTTCCAATCTGAGAAATATGACGAAGTTATTGCAAAGCAAAAAGTTACAGATGAGAAACTTACTCTTTATAGCAAAAAAATACGAGATCTCGAAGAGTTAGTTTACGATCTTGAAGATGAGTTATTTTATGTCACAGAAAAAATAGAAGAACATGAACGTCGATCTAGGATGGATAACCTAGAATTTCATGGCATTCCATCAACCGAAAATGAAGATACTGATGAACTAGTAACACAAATCGGAAAAATTATCCATGTAGACATAAAGCCTTCAGACATCTCCGTAACACACCGCTGTCCAACAAGGAATACCAACATCCATAAACCAATTGTAGCGAAATTCACAAACCGCAAAATCCGAGCCAAGATACTCAAAAATCGAAACTTGATCAAAACCTCTAACAATACAACATCTATAAGAGACTTGTCAAAGGTGTTCGTGGTTGAAAACCTAACCGAAAGAAATAAAAACTTATTTTACCAAGCGAAGGTCCTCAAGAAGCGATGTGGTTACGCCTTTCTGTGGACATCAAATGGCAAGATATTGATTAAAAAGAACAAAGACACGAACACTCTGTCCATAACTGATGAAGACGATCTGGATAAAATAAGATAAGTCCAATGATTTTTCCACTGCTATACTTAAGTAAATTATTAATTCCCCTTATGACCTATTTAAGAACCTTCAGTATCTTTTGGAAAATTTCAAGCTATGACATTCCCCCCATCGCACTAGCCTATTTGATCACAATCTATTACATGTTCTTTAAAATTGTATCCATTATCATCACCTATCTATGACCTAAACAGTGATCCCAACCCAAACTGGGAATCTATCAACTTTCACCCTGAAATTTCTTCTACCCCAAGTCAATATCTTGAAATATCTGATATCAACAGGGTAACGTCAAGTTTTCTACCTTCAGAGTTCATCATTTTGCACCTTAATATTAGATCATTACCTAAATATTCTGATAATTTAGTTGAATTGATTTCCAATTTTTGTACTCCACCTCAAATCATCGCCTTAAGCGAGACCAGGATCATAAGTGACAGTGTTGCGAATGTTAATATCCCTGGGTACACCTTCATACATGCTCCATCCCCAACTCGAGCAGGCGGTGTTGGTTTTTATATTGATAGCAATTTAAATTATCATGCATGCTCTAAACTCGGCTTAGAATTTCCTAACTGCGAAGACATTTGGATTGAATTAAAGAACTTCCAACCAACCTCAAAAATTCAAAATCTTGTTGTTGGTGTAATATATAGGCATCCCAAAAATAATATTCCAGCGTTCACCACAGCAATGTCCTGTCTATTCGAGAAGCTGACAATGGCTAAAAAGCAATTTATAATATTAGGTGATTTCAATATAAATCTTCTTGATTCTCACAACAATCTCACTACCAAGTATTTAGACATGCTCATGACTAATTTTATATGCCCGCTCATTACCAAACCAACCAGAGTTACCTCGACCTCTCACACCCTTATAGACCATATTTACACCAATACCGTAAATTTCTGCAATTCATCATTTATTTTGCTCAGTGATCTCACTGACCACTTTCCCGTAATGTGCACAATATCTGCAACTACTGGCAATATAAAGACAAACACTCGCATGAAACGTGACATGACTAAATTTTGTGTTGACCTGTTCAGATTGGAGGTTGAGTCGATCTGTAACAATTATACTAGTATTAGCATACATGAGGAAAACTTCAATAGCTCATTCGATCTTTTTCTTAGTCACTTCAAATGGTTGATTAATAAACATGCTCCATTAAGACCATTTTCGCGTAGAGAAAATAAACTTTACTCTAAACCGTGGATTACTAAAGGAATTCGTAAGTCCATCAAACATAAAAACAATATGTTTAGAAAAAAATTCTTAAAGGGAAACTCATCCCAGCGTCTCCACTTCAAAAAATACAAGAACATTTTGACGCACTTGCAGAGAAAATCAAAACAAATGTATTACCATAATATCCTTGAAAACAACAGAGGGGATGTGAAGCACACTTGGAAAACTATCAATGACATTATTAGAGTTAGGTCCAAAAATGAATCCATCGTCTCTGAATTGGAGCTTGAAAATGGTGCCACAGTTTCCGACCCCGCCAGAATATCCGCCGAATTCAATAAATTCTTTTCATCTGTAGGAAAGAAACTTGCTGACAATATTCCACATAGCAAGAAATCTTTCAAAGCTTTCTTGAGTGCTCCCTCACAGCACTCTTTTTTTCTGGAGCAAACGACACCTTCCGAGGTTCACCAAATAATATTGAACCTGAAAAAGGGCAAAGCAGTTGGACATGATGGTATTTCCCCGTTTTTCTTAAAAATAGTTGCAGATATTATTTCTCCAGAACTGAGTCACTTTTTTAATTTATCATTCAATTATGGTATTTTCCCCTCCTCATTAAAGATTGCCAGGGTTATACCAATCTTCAAAAGCGGCAACAAAAATAATCCCTCTAATTATCGGCCAATTTCCATTCTATCTTCAATTGGTCTTATTCTGGAAAAGTTAATATACAAGAGAATGCTAATTTTTTGCACCAAATTCAACTTGATCAATAAATGCCAATTCGGATTCCAACCCGACCACTCTACTAGCCATGCCATCCTAGACTTAACATCATATATTTATGACAAAATAGATAAATGTGAGTTTGTCTGCTGTGCTTTCCTTGATCTAAAGAAAGCCTTTGACACGGTGGACCACAAAATTCTTATTCAAAAGTTGCAACATTATGGTTTCAGAGGTAATGTAAGCAAACTACTAGCTAATTACCTGAGTGGTCGTTTTCAATTTGTTGAATTAGGTTCTCATAAGTCCCCAATGTTGCCCATTCAGTGCGGAATTGTCCAGGGTTCAATTATCGGGCCTTTGGCTTTTTTACTCTCTGTAAATGACTTGTCGAACTGCTCTAATCTTCTAACCAAGCTCTTCGCCGATGATGCCTGCCTGCTTGCTAGTGGAAAAGACTTGACCACACTCCAACACACTGTAAACTCAGAAATAAATAAAATATATGAGTGGATGTTATGCAACAAACTTACTGTAAATGTCGAAAAATCTAAAGTCATGGTTTTCAGCCGAAAATCGCTAACAACACATGCCAACATTCTAATCAAAATCAGGGGGGTTGCCTTGGAAGTCGTCCAATCCTATAAATATCTCGGGCTCCATATAGATAATAATTTAAAATGGAACACCCATACTATCGAATTACATAAGAAATTGTCGAGATCGGTTGGGATATTGGGAAAACTCAGACATTATGTCCAGGATGCCACCCTGCGAACTGTCTACTTTGCTCTCTTTCAATCCCACATACAATATGCCATAACCGCTTGGGGCTCAGCAGCGCAAACTAACATTCATAAATTGGAGATCTTACAGAATAAAGCTGTTAGAACCCTCTCTAGAGCATCTATTCGTACAAACCTAAACACCCTATACCATAAAACAAGGGTGTTAAAACTATCTGACATTCACACTCTAGAGATCTCCAAAGTTATGCACCAATTTCAAAACAACCACTTGCCCACAGCTTTCGACAATTATTTTGTTTCGCTTACCTCTGTGCATGAACACAACACTCGCTCTTCAACCAAGTCCAATTTTTTCGTACCTCGCTTTTCACTGAGCAAATCTCAAAATTCCCTGAAATACAAAGGTGTCATAATATGGAATAGTATTCCACAAAGTTTACGTGAAAGCACATATGTCTCTTTTAAAATAAAATATAAGAAGGTCATGCTTTCATCTTACCTGTCTCGGGTCACCACATCTGTTTGATGTGCTGACACCCTCCACCCCTTGTCATTGTCAGCTCAACACTTGA